AGGCGACTCCTAAAAGTCGAAAATACCCTTTGAAACAAACTCTTTTCGAAAATCAACCTTTTTTCGATAAAACATCATGATTACATTCAAAATTCAATTAATTTCTCATTAATCATTAGGGTAACATTGAAAACTTGTAAAGAAGAAATTAACTCATGTATTTTTCTCTAGTCTCTAAAGATTTTAAATTAGTTTCATGATTACATACTATAATATTCAATTACATTATAAAAATTAAAAAATAACACTTGTCATCACTTTTTATATGCAGTTTCTATTGGTATGGGGCTCAAATATATCGATATTTATTTTTTTCATCCCAATTTATACATTTTTAAACATTATCGAAATTATGATGATTATATAAAAAATGAAAAAAATGTGGCAAAAAACTATTTTTTTCTTCGACTCCACATGGAATCGTACTAATTTGAAATATTAAACAAACGTATCTACCTACCCATATGTCTGCAAAAATATAATTTTAATTTTTTCCCCAAATTTTTGCTACTCAAAAAGAACAACTTTTAATCGGCGGCGACTGTGATCCGCCGGAAAATCTTCTGCCGGCTAAGTATGTTGTCATCTACATTGAAACCAGTAGTGGGTTCACTTCCTACAGTGTCAGAACCAAATGGCTCTCAAACAAGATCAGCACCTTCATTAGCAATGTTGAAGTTGAACAAAACTATCTTTTCTCCTCTTCAGGTTTTGTTTTCTAGACTTTTTATGGTATAAAATGTTTAAAGATCTGATTTTTGTTTGATGGGGTTGTTCTTTTTGCTAGTTTAGTTAGTATTTGGTATTTTGAAGTTGAACAGACTGTTGTTTTCTGATTGAACTGTTTAAAGATCACATTTTGTAAGCTGGGTATTGTTGTTTTTGTTAGTTTAATATGTATTTGGCTTATTTGAAGTTGCACAGAGTTTTTCAAGATTTGGTTTTGATCTTTTTGTGCTATGAAACTGTTTAAAGATCATATATTTTGTTTGATGGGTATTGTTCTTTTATTGTTAGTTTGATGTGTATTTGGCTTATCTGAAGTTGAACAACTCTTCAGATACTGTTTTATGAATTTTGTGCTGTGGAACTGTTTAAAGATTACATTTTGTAAGATGGGTAGTGTTCTTTTATTGTTAGTTTGATGTGTATTTGGCTTATCTGAAGTTGAACAACTCTTCAGGTTCTGTTTTATGAATTTTATGCTGTGGAACTGTTTAAAGATTACATTTTGTAAGATGGGTAGTGTTCTTTTTTTGTTAGTTTGACGTGTATTTGGCTTATATTGAAGTTGAACAAACTCTTCAGCTTTTGTTTTCTAATCTTTTTATGCTATGAAACTATTTAAAGATCATATTTTATTTGATGGATATTGTTCTCTTTGTTAGTTTAGCAAGTATTTGGCTTATATTGAAATTGAACATACTTTTGAGGTTTCATTATCTGATTTTTATGCTGTGGAAATGTTTAAAGATCACATTTTGTAAGATGGGATTGTTGTTTTTGTTAGTTTAGCAAGTATTTTGGCTTGTATTGAAGTAGAACAAACTCCTCAAGATTTGTTTGTTTGATCTTTTTATGCTATGAAACTGTTTAAAGTTCACAACTGTTAGATAAGTATTGTTCTTTTTCTTAGTTTAATATGTACTGTCTTATATTGAAGTAGAACAAAACTTTTTTTTCTCCTATTCAGGTTTTGTTTTGGATCTTTTATGCTCTGCAACTGTTTAAAGTTCAAATTTTGTTAGATGGGTTGTGAATTTCTATTGTTGTTTATGTTATATTTGGTTTATTTTGAAGTTTCTACTTGGCTGGTAAGTAGTATTGGAAAGGACTAAGAGGGGTTTCAGTGTGAAAGACTCTGAGCGTCCAATCCAAAACTTTAATGTAATGCGTGGATTCACCTATGAATATATAAATTGACTAATAGGTAGTTGGATGAATGTAGTTTGATTAATGATAAGGGGATTCTGATGCTGATCTTTAATCTTAAGCTTCATTCTAGCTATTTCATTTGAGAGAAAGATGGAATATATGCGTAATTAATTTATGAATTTTTGTAGAGAAAACTACCTTAATCCTCATTATAGATGTGGCTAGTGCTTTCCTTTGGCCCAGATGGCTGTGCAACATGGTCGGAATTGTAGCCGATTGTGCATCTGTTCTAGTGAGAGCATGATGGTTAGGCTTCATGAAGGCTCTGAAGCTCACGTTAGTTACACTTTGTGCATATTTGTAGATAGTAGATGATGTTCTGCAAAATCATAAACATATGAATCAGAATGTGTATTGTAGAATAAAGTTAGTAGAGGGTGTTGTGCAAATCATGGTTGATGAATCAGTCAATAAAATATAGAGATATGAATACGGTACCACCTGATTACAAAACAGGCTATTTGTGTTCTTATGGTGTGTTCTCATTTTTTGAATTCCAGTTGCCGGAACATTTGTAAATCCAATCATTGAATTACTCGTGCTAGATGAGGTGATATGGTGACCTATGCAGAGTTCAAAAGTTTCAAATGCTTTACTTTTGTGAAACTTGTTAGCAACTCATGTTGGCAGCAAATATTGTTAAGTGTATGTATAACACAATGCGTGCTAATATCATATAAGATAAAAGTAAACTCAGCATACGGAAATTATGAACGAAGTCATGTAGCTTATTACTTTTTATCAGCGCATTGATTAGTATCCCTTTGATAAGAGATGCTTTTACTTGATAAGATGTTATTGCATGGAACTTCACCATTTCCACCAACATATTGACATGCATACAAACCCAAAGCAACTATTAAGCTCCGCAAAAGCTAAGTTGTGTAGACTCTTCACTTTCAATGTCGTACTCGTGCCGTATTCTCCAAAAATACGCTACTTCTGGAGAATGCAACACGTGCCTGTTGATATTCTTGAAGAGTCAGAGCAACATAGCCAATAAGTGACAAGCCATATGAAATTGAGAGTGTTATTTTACTGAGCAAACACAAGCACAAGTAATTTTAACAAGTAGATGATTGTCTTTCCTTCCGCTAGAGATTTTTGATGCTCTCTCTTTATTATCTTAGCATGCTCTTTCCCTTCCAGTTGACAGGCAACGGAAAGGAGTTACCTCGGCAGGAGACAACCGCAACTGCTGTTTCAAGAAGAGAATTGGTAGGTTTGGCAGCTACAACATTAGGTGGACTTGCCCTTTTCGCTGCAGAACCTGCTGAGGCAGTTGAAGTAGCTGATATCGGGAACTCAATCAAGGAGTTGTTTGGATTTCTCAAAGGCAAGCCAAAAACAGGAGCTGACAACGAAAATAAACCAAAGAGCGAAACTGATGAGAAGAAGCCAAAAATAGAAACCCATGGAAACAAACCAAAGATTGAAGCTGATGAAAAGAAGTCAAAAGTTGATAACCATGGAAACAAACCAAAGGTTGAAGTTGATGAAAAGAAGCCAAAAAATGAAGACGATAAGAAGGCGGCATCAACCCCTCATCACTCAGAGAAGGAAAAAGTGTCATCTTCTTCTGCTGATGCACCAGCCCTTCCCAGCATTTTGAACAACACAGTTACCTAACTTCTCATTTACAAATGCTGTTGTGCTCAGATACATTTTCAAGAAACTTGACAATCTTTTCTAATGCTACAATTCATTGTTGCTAAACTCATGTCTAAATGAAACCTTAGACAAGGTTTGTATAGTTCAATGAGTTAAATGTCAAGACTATTGAAGTACTTTCATTTCAAAGATTTTCATTTTATATGTCCGTTTAATTATAATCTGACAATCTAGTGCACGTGGCATTCCGCATTCATGTAGGATTCAAGGAAGTTCTGTAAGTCCGAGGGTTGTAATATTGGAAGCCTACATTGACACAAATGTCAATGATTGATTCCACAACTTGATAGGTCATAATATGAAGTAAAACTTACGCAAGTATCAATGACTAATTTCACCACTCGAATCGAGACTAATAAATTATTATGGAAGAAAAACTGACATCCCGCGTTCATGCAACCTCCCGGGAAGCCCCGCATGCCCAAGGGTGTAATGTAAGTAGCCTACAGTAATTCAAGTTTCAATTATTGCTTTCACCACCCGAATCATGAATAATAAGTCATTACGAAAGAAAACTTGCGCAAGTGTCAACGACTGGTTTCACGACTCGAATCGTGACTAATAGGCCATTACGAAAGAAAACTTACGAAAGTGTCAATGACTGATTTCACGACTCAAATCGTAACTAATAAGTCATTCATTCATTACACACGACAAAAATTCAATCTTTGTTAAAGTAGTAATAACTAATATAAAGAACTAAACTTTTTCATAAATATTACGATTCATATAGCATAGCATACTTCAACTTGCTCGAAATTAAATAAGAAATAAGTGCATACAACAAAGAAAACAACCATAAGCTCTTTTTTTTATATATTATTGTGGAACAAAACAAACTTATACTAGTTATAATTCTCACTACAAACTAACCAAAAAAAATCAAAAATCAAACTATTTTTTTGTTCAAACTTTCCACTAACTTATGCATTTGAAATCTCCAAATAAAAAATATAAACAATCCAATACCAATTAATATATATAACCAAATAGGTTCTTCTTCACTCTCTTTTTCAGATTCCACTTCAGCTATACCAAATTCATCTCTTTGTTCATTTCCATTTATACCCTCCTTTACATGTCCATATAACACATATACCCTCCTCTCATCTCCTACTGTCACTGCTGTAGCAAACCTTTCTCTCTCAAGGGTAGTTTCGTCATATACTCCTCCTTCTCCCCATCCATCATTGCTATTTACAAAATATAACTTCTCTTGACTCACCACCAAGACGACGCCGTCTTGTCTTATGGTAATTCCGTCAGCTCCCGTTAAGTCTCTGTTTAATATAACGGCTCTCGCTCCTCCGTCGTCAACGTTGACTTTGAACAATTTCCCGGTATTTGATTGGACCACGAGTAAATATCCTCTCGGACTGAAAACGATGCCGTTTAAACCAGATTTGTGGTAATTCGTCGTCGTATCGAGTGGATGAGATTTGAACGCTTTTGATTTTGATAAGATCGAAACGTCACCGTTTAGAGTGATTTTCCAGATGAAATCGCCGCCGGAATTGGTGACGTAAGCGTTGCCGTGGAAATCTACGGCGACGTAATTAGCGACGGCGGTGTCGTCCTGAGCGACGTCATCGAGGAGAGAGGAGAGGAAAAGGCGGCGGTTAGATTGGAGATCGTAAGAAGCTAGGGCATTGAAAGGTGTGGGGTTTTCAGGGGAAGGAGGACGGTGGATACAGGCGAGGAGACGGTTGTTGTAGCGGTCGACGGCGAGACCGAGGAAGGAGGAGTTTTCAGGGAGTGAAGTATCGATGATAAGAGATTCGACTACGCCCGCATCGGAAACGGCGATGAGTTTCTGGTGACGAGTGCTTCCGACGATGAAGTGTTGGGATTTAGGATCCCAAGCGAATGATTCCGGGAAGAGATTACGTGATCGGAAATTGACGACGTGGGGTTTTCTGCCGGCGGCGAAAGGATCTGAACCTATTAATAAGATGAATAAAGTAGAAAAGAGAAATAAAGGAATACTCAATTTCATGGTTATGGAGAAATAATATGATCACACTGATAAATCAATTCTCTGTAATTATAACTTTATAATAATTTGGTGTAGATAAATATAAGTTTTTTAATTTAGAAATTTTAGATTTTTTAAACTAAACATAATTAATCATAGTGTATTATATCTCGGCTTATTAAAAGGAAGAATTAGATTTACTTTTCAAATACTTCCCTTCAATTTAGGTAAATTGGTACAAAAAATCTTACTTTACCACATCTTTTGATATAATTTTAATTTTTAATTAATTAATATGTATTTTCATGTAGTGTTTAATTAAGAAATATAGTACATCAACATAAAATATTATAATAACCTTAGTTGAGAACTTGAGATTAGTTCATTAGTTACTACTTTTGAGAATAATAACTATTTTCATCATTTTGTTTATTCATTTTTTCCAAATTCAATTAAAAGCTAGATATATTTACTATCTAAGCGATACATTCGCTATTTTAAATCAACTTATAATTATATCTCATGTTAATACAAAATATCTTATTGTGCCCAAAAATATCATGTTGATGTTACAAAATACAAACTCCTCAAGATCACCAGAACTTTCGAACCAAAATATCTCAGCTCACAAAAACTAAAATATCTTGTTATATTTATCAAAAATCACATTTCTTCCGGAACCTTCTTGAAGGCTGAAGCTTCATTTGTTTTATTCCCTAGAACCCAATAGAACCTTTTTCCACCTCATACATATTTCTCTCTGTCCATGTGCCTACTGATATTTTTGACAAAACAAAGTCCCTTTAGACCCCACTTTATCACCGACTTTAAAGAATTCTGTTTTTATACAAATGTTTTCCTTAACACCCTTTTCATGTCACAGGTTCTTGATTTTGAGATTTTAAGAAAAGGGGTTGTTAAAGATTTGATTTTTATAACAAAAAATATTGAATTTTGGAGGATACCCTTTTTGCTTATTTGTTGGAATTTGGTGATTTTAGAAAAAAGGGGTTGTTAAAGATTTGATTTTTTTTGACAAAATATTGTCATTGGAGGATACCCTTTTGGTTGTTTGGTGTTATTTTGGGGTTTGGTGAATGGAAATGGAGTTTAAAGAAAGTTTGCCTTCATATTATAGTGTCCTTGGTGTAAATGTTGGTTCTTCTGATGAAGAGATTAGACGTGCTTATAGAAAGCTAGCAATGGTATATGGTGATGAAGAAATTTTTGTGTTTCTTTTTTGTTGTTATGAGAGTAGTTTGATTTTGGTTGTTAAAAATGGTGATTTTTTTTTTGGTTGCAGCAATGGCACCCTGATAAATGGACTAGGACACCATCATTGTTAGGTGAAGCTAAAAGGAAGTTTCAACAAATTCAAGAAGCTTATTCAGGTAATGATAAAGTTGCTATCTTTTTCATTTTCATTTTGGGGGGTTCGAGGATTAAGTTAGAAGGTTAGTAGGTAGTTGAGGGTTGTCGAGTTTCTAATGTGTATATTTGATGTTTCAATAGTGTTATCGGATCGAAAAAAGAGAATGATGTATGATGCTGGCATGTATGATCCTGATGAAGATGAGGATGAGGTATACTTTACTTTTTTTGTTTTGTTTTGTTCTCACCTTAATTGAGTATGGTGAAGTTCATTTGATAAGTGTTCATTGCTTAATTTACTTGTTTTGTTGCAGGGGTTTGATGATTTTCTACAAGAAATGGTATCTTTAATGGAAGAGTCAAGGAAAGAGGTATTGTCTTCATATTAACTCTTGTGTTATGACCTTTTTGTGATAGAAAAATGTATGGTGTTCAACTTGTATATACTGATAATAATGTTAAAAGATCATGGTTTTATGTCGTCGAATTAGTCATCGATGCTTGTGTTAAAATATATTTTTGGGGTGTAATCCTTTCTTGAATTCTGTTTGAACGTGAGATACTTTGTGCACTAGTTGTCGCTCATAATATGTTATAAATTGCATTTTATCTTTGGATGAGTAAACCATATTTTAAATAATTAATTAAAATGAACAAGTGGTTTAGTGTTTCTTCTACTTGATTAAAATAAATTATCTTAGCTAGCTTACTTTTCATAGTCTTGAGTCAACCTAGGCCCAATTTTTTGTTCTTTTATGCCTTTTTTATAGCGTATAATGCGGAGTTTGAACTAAAGTTATTAAATTCTATCGAACTTATATATGTTAGAGCTTATTTCTGATTTGATTGTTTTTGCATTGGGAATTTCTTAATACAGGAGAAAAGTTATAGTATGGATGAGTTACAAACCATGTTTTGGGAGATGGCTCAAGGATTTGAGACTTGTAATTGGACTAGTTTTTCTCAACAGAAACAGAACTTTGAGTCTCCACAATGGTTTTGTGGTAGTTCTATGGCTTATGATGGATCAAGAACAGCTCAATTGAACGCGAATTTCGCAGACATAGATCCCTTCTTCGGTTCCTCAACAATGCAGATGCAAGGGGCTAACCGTTTCTGCAGATAATAATAATGAAGGTTCTTCAAGAAGGTAGCTCAGCAAGGACACATATTTTGCAGAAGTTCCAATGTTGAAGTGTAGCAAATGTTCATATGAAGTGCTACAAATTTTGATCTTGTGGATGGATGTGATCATATCAGGACTGAACAAGTCATTTTTTGGTTTTGAACTTCAACAAAAATATGTGGATTCTCAGTTTTTCTTTTGTAAATACAAGTGGAATGGAACTTTTGTTTATTGTTGTCACTTTGGTTGAGATTTTTGTGGAACTTGGAAGTATGTTTGGTTTTGTGTAGTGTACTCTTTGTCTATCCCAACAATTAGGTGACTAGTTATATCAGAGTCATTATGTTCGAGTTGGGTCTAATAGCTCTATCTGAGTCATCGGTTGCTATATTAGAGTCCATATAACCAACTTGGGTTAAATAGCTCTTATCAAGAGTCATTATAGTCGAGTTGGGTCGTTATATTAGAGTTTATATAATTATGTTGAGTCGAATTGAGTCTAATTGCTCTATCAAGAGTTCATATAACTAAGTTGGGTTGAATTGGGTCTAATAGTACTTTTATCATAGTCATTATAGTCGAGTTAGATCGATGCATCAGTATTTATATTATCATGTTGAGTCGAGTTGAGTTGTTATATTAGAGTTTATTTAATTATGTTGAATTGAATTGGGTCTAATTGCTCTATCAAGAGTTCATATAACCAAGTTGGGTTGAATTGGGTCTACTAGAACTTTTATTCTAGTCATTATAGTCAAGTTGGATCGCTTAGATCATTGCTGTATCAGAATTTATATAATCATGTTGGATCGAATTGGGTCTAATAGCCCTATCAAGAGTCCTTATAGCCGAGTTGGGTTGCCATATCAAAGTCAAGTATAGCCAAGTTGGATCGGGTAGTTTTTCATTTGTTGTGGCGGTTCATTTTCTTATAGTCAAGTGGTTTTTTTCTTTGTGAGTTTATAGATTGCTCTGATAAATATCTTTTCACTTGTTCATTAGAGTATAACCGATTTTTCTTCTCTTTTTTTTTGGTTCATTAAGTTACTTTACCATAAAGGCAATATGAAAAGCATTTATCACTATAGCAAAAATAATTTTAGCGGCATTAAATATTGACACTAATAAAGAGTGTTAAAGTTTTTGCCGGCATTAGTCAAGTGTCATTAGAATCAATGTCGCTAAAAGCTTTAGGAACATATACAAAAAGTGACACATATTTAGCAATAATTAAGAATTAAATGCCGCTAATGATCATTTTTGTCGTAGTGTATAGGCCCAGAACTATTTTTCTGGTCCAAACACCAGGGAAGTTCAGTGAAGATGGGCCATAACATAAAGCCCATAGAGACTTTCCTTCATGTCATGGGCCATTTGTTATAGCTTGCCAGGACATTTTTGGCCCAAATAATTTCCACACACAAATTCAATTACATTATATTGTCCTTTCTTGATTTTGAAGCATTAATATTGAAGTGTATGATTATTTCGTCAATTGTTATAATTTATAAATATTAATTATATTATAACCTAACATATCCCTCGATGTGGTTAGTGTTTTTCTCTTTTACATTTTTTTTTTTGGATACAGATGATGTAAGAACTTCGAATCATTTTTGCTTTTACTTCATAACATAGCTCATGAGGTGAAAATTGCTTAAAATTAAATAGAAATTTATTTGTGTACAATGAACATGCCTTCAATTTTGTCTTAGACTCTAGTGTATTCTAGTTGACTATAATGGTTTCAAAGTTGTCAACAAAAGCAACACGTCTTCTCCATACTTGAATTTACTAGACCTAATATATGGCCCAACCTTAGCCAATTTTCAATTCAAGTTTCACACACAAGTCTTTACTTTTATTGTAGGTATATAACAAATCGACAATAGTCTTTATTTATAACTTGTTTGGATTAACTTAAAAAGATAATTTTAAGTTAAAAATAAAAAATCAAATTGAAAAGACCTTCAAATCGAGAAACAAAAAAAATAAAGAGAGATTTACTTTTGATTTTTAACTTATTTAAGTAATTTTTTACCTTGTCAAACACTTCCTAACTTATTTTAAGTCTTTTTTTTTTACTTATTTTAAGTTATTATTTATATTTATTTATAAAAAATTTCACTTAAACTAAGTTTGATTAATTTTTAGGTCGATCCAAATACTCTCTTATTTTCCTTCTTTTTTTTTTCATCTATACAAGATTTATGATCAATTTCTTGGTTCCAATAATACTTTTTCAATAAATAAGTAAAAGAATAAATATTATTCCCTTCAAATTGCAAGAATTTCCTACTTTTGAGTAGGATTAGAAAAAAAGGGAATCAAAGTCTTCACATGCACCAAAGCATATTATAACCTTCACTTTGACTTTTCAAAATCCAAAATTAATACACTTTAAAGTCATCATTTATAAATTATAATCAAATTCAATTAACCAAAATTCTCCATTTTTTTTTATTGTTTATGCTTAATAAATAATTAGGATTACCACTTTTCCACACACAAGATACTAAACCAAAGTATTAAATACCTAAAAAGGTACAATTATAGAAAGCATACATGCTTCATAGATGTACAAAGTATGTTGAATTATAATTAATTAAAACAAAATAATTGGTATTAGAATTAAATTAACTCCAATAAGATTTATAAAATATAGAAAAAGAGTCCAATGGTGGGGACAAAAATTGGACTATCCACATGCATATGTAAACAAATTAAATTGTCATCTTGATTAAGCCAATAAATATCATACATACTAGAGACACCTCATGATCAAACTCTTTTATTACTCTTAATCTAATACCCCACCCCACCCCACCTACCCCCCCCCCCAAAAAAAAACGCTCAAAACAACAACTTAAATTCCTTTCACTTGCATGTAATATTCTTAAGAAGTGTAGCAAAATCAAAACTCCCATTTCTCCAAAAACACTTTTCATTTCTTACAAGTTAACATACTATATTTAGTCACATACACTCATACTAAGGAAGAAAAAAGAAGAAGAAGAAGAAGAAATTCACATTCAAAAGGTTTTCACAAGCAAATCTCTTACACATGTCGCGATTTGTGATTTTTCTCTTATTTTTTGTGGTGGCTATACCTATAACCAATGGACTAAACCAACGAAAACTCGATGAGGGTGAAAATAAATGTGGAGGTTGTCCTTGTAACAAACCTTGTATTCCACCTTCTCCTCCACCACCACCACCGTCATCACCGCCGCCGCCGCCGCCAAAGAAACCACCAAGTGGCTATGATTGCCCTCCACCTCCTTATTCCGGTGGCGGCGGCGGTGGAGGTGGTGGTGGTTCAAATATTCCCTATCCTCCAAATTCACAATACATATATATGACTGGTCCACCTGGCAATTTGTACCCCGTTGACCATGATTTTGGTGGTGCAAAAAGAAGCTTTTCTAGTGGATTTTCACTTTTAATTGGTGGATTTTTCTTGGGATTGTTTTATTTTTGGTGAAATTCAACATCAAATCAAATAAGAGGAAGAAGCAGCAAATTTAAGAGATCAATAATTTTAGTGGCTATGAATATTCTATATATGTTATAAGGTAAATTGGTCTTTAATTAATTGGCTGTAATCTTGATATATTCATGTGTTTCATAACCTTATAATTTTTCTTCCACTTTTTTTTTTTTTGGTAAAATCAAATCGTCAAACCTTAATCGAGAGATATATTATCATCTGTTCATATTTATTTTCTTTTCCCTTAACACATCTATTAAGAAAATAATTATTGATATTTTTCCTGTTTAATATTATTTAGTATAATTCATGAAAAACGATTTGAAGAATAAGTATTTGATATTATTGATGGTAAAATATTAAATTTTTGTTTTTTTACATATAAAAAATGACAAGTAAACGTGAATGAATAATCGAGTATTTTCTCTCTAAGTACTTTTTTCTTTGTTATCAACTCCTTATGGTAGAATTAATTAAAATAAAAAAGAAAAAATGGATTTCAACTTTCAATTAGAAGAATTTAGTAGTCCTCAAATTTCAGTGAAGAATTTAGTGTCTATTTTTTTCATATAAATTTACGAAATTTCAAGTGCACTAATTTGAGAAGTCTTTGTTTTTGGCTCCTTTTGTGGTCCACTAAATTGTTAGGCTGTGATAAGCATTTGTCACGGCGTATGAGCGTGGCATATATAACGATGGTGTTCAGATCAATTTGTACGCATACGATTATTTAAAATATAAGTAACATTATTAGTATGGTAACGGGTCGTTTTCATTATTATATGTGTTTATTTATCATTTACTTCATTTGATCGTTAGATTATGTCCTTGAGTTATTCACTACTTATTTATTCATAATTAGTTCGAAAATTGTGAAAATAAAATGTTTAATTAGCAGCACCGACTAAAATCATAAAGAAGATATAATAATTATTTTATTGCGATATGGACAGAGCACTAATATTGCGTATTACACGTTTAATTAATTTGTCGATTTAGACAGAAAATTTATAGGTTTTTTTTTTGTGTACGTGTAAATTATTAATTCAGTGCAAACTAGTATATATATATATATATATGTATATATAGTTTAATGAAAAACGAAAAAAATAAAATGAGATCTTCTTTATCCCATAGTAAGATAAATTGCATCAAGACTCCATAAGGACTTAACTAACAAGAAATTCAATTTCTATTGGTAATGCGTACAAATTTTGATCTTCGTACACTCGATTGAATATTAAATTATATTAACTTCATCAGAAATATACTGATTTAAATGAAACCATCATATATAACTTTGTCAATCAAAAGGAAGTAACGTCCACTATGAAATAGTTAAAATACACATAAATCAATCTCAATATTTTCAATATATAAGAAAATCTTTTTTTTTGGGGGGGGGAAATAATATGAATAAGAAGGTCCCAAAAGTAGTTTTACCATGAAGATTTTATATGTCAGAGTTTGTTGTCATATGAAAAGTACTAAGTGGGGGAAATAAAATCATCTTTGGTTTTCACAAACTCTAGAATCCACTTCATATTATATCTAGTATTAAATTCCATATGGTCCCAAAAGCTAACAATAAGCTAAGGTTATTGAAGTTTCAATTTTAACACAATGTTTCAATTAGGTGGCTATTATTCATTGAATCTTGTGACTTGATAGAGTTGAATTTGTCCACTTGTATGACTATAGTTTTCCCACTTTAGTAGAGCTTATAACTAACCCATGTGATGTTGTTTGGTTTAAGTTTTAATTTTTCATAAGAAAAATGTTTTTTCTAGCCATGGTAACAATGGGATGTTTTTTTTTCTCGTATTTATTTTGAAGTTCTGATTAATATGAATATAGGTTTACTGAATTATTATAAAGAAAGTGTTTTGTATTAAATAAATTTATTTTTACGATTTGAATTTTATCAAGAATTATTCATAATGTTTTTAAGTCGTAGACTTGTAGTGATAGTTAGATTCTTGTGGTTTCTAATTTTAGTAGAGATCAGATTTTAACCCTATATTCAATCAAGGAAAAACTTAATGAAAGTTGTCTGTAATTAAAAGATTTGATTAATTTAGAAGTTAATTATTTAAATACATTTTAATTTGTAATATTACGAATTTTATTTGAGTTGATGTATGTCTAATAAGATAATTTTTCTTTTAAGACTTTATCTATTCCCGAAATGTAACTTGCTCACTTTTCAAGTTAACTTTTATTTTAGCGAATGATGTTAACCAATTCGATGAAGATATTTAAATATAAAAAAAGATAAAAATCAATTTAGTGAATTAACTTTATGATATAAAAGATTTCCTATTTAAACAAGTTGTGTAAATATCCTTTAAAAATAAATAAATATATCTAAAACTTATAGAAATGAGATTAATTTCTTAATGACTAAAAATGTTATTGCGTAACATCTGATTAAAGATAAAACGAGTCATATTATCCGTTTAAAGGAAAACAATTAAATGGACAGCAGAACAAGATGGATAACTACAAATTTTGATTTGATGTGAAACAAATAGACATATGTACATATGTAACATGTTAACTTCCTATCATGTGTCAATTTGTTCCACTCTAGAAGTTGTTTCAATTCTCTGATTTCTTAAGGGAAAAAAAGAAAGAAAAAATGGTCCTTTTAATTTATATTTGTAGATTAAAATAATTTCTTCAATATTTTTTTTCAAAAATAGTATATATATATATATATATATATATATATATATATATATATATATATA